GTGTGGAGGGTCCCTGGAAGAGAGGGGGGTGAGACAGGGCAGGGCCGTGGGGGTGCTTTGAGGGGCGGTGATTGCGGAGGGCTGGGGAGTGTGGAGGCTGTTGTGGGGCTGTGGGGAGGCGTGAGGGCTGCTGAGGCTGGGGCGGAGCGTGCTGGCAGAGAGGGGCCAGGGGGGCAGGAGCAGGAGGGGCAGGGGCTTGAGGCTCACCTGGTTGTGGGCAGGAGCAGGAGGAGAAGGCGTGAGGAGAAGTGTGTGAGGGAGAGAGGCGCTGGGCCGGCTTTTATGCTGCTCCTGGAAAAGCGGGACAGCCTTGGCCTATGGCCTTGGGGCATTTTGCAGGCAGCAGCTCTTCAATGGCCCAACCTGGTGAGTCATGAGCTGGGGAATGTTTTCCTTTGTGCAATTCTGGAGTTCCATGTCCTCTCCTTGAGATCGCATCCATCTGACCTTGGCGGCAGTTTAAAGTTAGAATTGGTATTTGGGTGGATTTGCATAGAAGCTGTGTCAGAGAAACCAGAATAAACAAAAGCTCCTTCGGAAAATTGAGGTGCCATCAGTGAGGTCACCCCATTGCATTTTTGTGGTTTAGTTTGTGGGTGTGTTTTGCAGAGTGGCCCCATTGCCTCACTGTCCTCTCAGGCTGGTCCGGGCTTTGCTGTTTTTTCCAGGCATGATCAGCTGCCCTTTCCACCCTGGTCATTTCTCCCCAATCTACCACCAGGTCACCACTTCTGTCTTTCTGATTGACCTTTCTCATTGGTTGTGCTGTGGCTTTGAGACCTTGGGATCACAATGTTTCTTTTCCTGTGTGACATATCCAAAAAGGAGGTGCTGGGGCATTAGCAGAACAAGGCTTATGAGCAGTGGTTGTGTAAACTGTGGATTTTTAGATGCAGACAATGAAGCCAGCGGAGAGACTTTTCTCCCTCTCGTAGCTGCCTGAACATCAATTGTGTGGAAGTTGTTGCTGCTCTCTTCTCCCTTTTAGCAAGCAATAGGAAAACTGGAAAGAGCTTAAATTACTGAAACCTTGAGTGGAAATGATTGTGGGCAGCCTGATTGACCCGTCCAATTTGTATCTCTGAGATTTACATACTCATGTACTCTTTGATTTAAAGTGTATTTCTTGATCTCATTTAGTAAGCCGGTAGGAAAGAACAAATGGGGCCTGATCTCTATTTTCACCAGGCAGGTCTCGCCTCGAGTCCTTTATTCCACATTCAAGCCGAAAGGATTTATAATATAGATCCTGTAATTATTAATATTGAATTCCTGTTAGGAGAATGTGATAATTAGTAATGGATGCTCAGCGTCCGTTTCTTTCCTATTTGTGTCATAATGTGGACATTTCTGTATGAAGTTCTACGTTTCCGTGTCCTTCACCTGAGTCCATGTGTGGTCGACCTTGGTGGCAGCTTTTAAGTGCAAGTTGCTCTTTGGGAAGATTTGCATGGAAGATGTGTGTCAGGGAGGGCTAAAGGTGTGACCAAAGCTCTTGAGACATGTAGTTTCCTCACTGCGATGACCCAGGGGCACTGGTGTGCTGTGGTTTGTTGGTGTGCTGTGAAGAGGGACCCCATTCCCTCCCAGACCTGTCAGGCTGCTCTGGGCTTTGCAGCTGTACTGCAGGTGTTGTCCATTCCCTCATGTTCCATCCCTCCCCACCTTGACCCCACCTGGCCAAGCCGGACACTGAACCTGACCTTTTCCATTGATTTTGCTCTGTGGGTGCTTGGTGCCACTCTTGCTTTTAAGGTTTTGTTATCCAAGTGTTTTC